AATAGGGCTGACCGGTGGAACCCAACAGACTATCAAGTTTGATTAGTCGTTTTTTCGGATGAGGGGTCCATTTGAATTTGAGTGCTGAGTTGGTTGGCTTTGAAGGAATCGATTGGATTGGTCGTCTGTGGTTACAATTGACCACTGTCGACAGAAAGTTGACAAAAGGTAACCGACGATCATGTGGATGGGGTAACCAACGACGGTTCAGTGCATAATTTTGGTAACCGACTAAAAGACGATTTCAGACGATTCAAGCTGGATTTTATTTAAACAATCTAATGAAGATTGGGTAGGGAATCTTTAATCATCTCATGAAAAGTCTTATTGGGGATCACTCTTTTAAATTCTCAGTTTTTTTGCACATTTTCTAACTCTTTTATGTATTTTGTTTTAGGAATACGTGATCTCTTACTCTTTCTATTCTAAATTCGAAATATACGAATTTTACTTTTAATTTGTTGAATTTCTACATCAAAAATTATTATTATTGATGTATAAGTGATAAATAGTATAATAATATTAATATTATTATGATATTTTAATAAAAAGTAATAATTTAAAACTAAAACATACTAGTAAATTTTTATCAACTTTTTCAAAAAAATGTGTTTTTATATTATAAATATAATATTTAAAAAAATACTACTATTTTATCATAATAAATATATATTACCATTGTCATCTATATTAAATTATTGAATACACTATTTGTCATTCTGGTGAAGATAGACTAGTTGTTAATTTATGTTTATATGTTTTTTTTAAACTTTTACTTTTTTTAATGTCAATTTTTTTTTTTTTTTGTAACAACTGTAAATTTTTATTTTAATTTTATATATATTTATTTTTTGTAAAAAAATATATAAATAATAATAACAAATATAAATTAAAATAAATTTATATATTGAATTATAATAAAATAAAAAAATATATATTAATATACAAAAATAGTATTATGTTAAAATATTTCTACATTATTAATAATTAACAAAATATATATTTATTAAAGAAGCTAATACATGAAAAATAAATATTTCTAATGCTACGTGAAAAATGAGACCGTAATATAATAAAAATAACAATGATGAGAATGAAGATGATGATGACGAAAACAACAACAATAATAATATAATAATAATAGTATTATTAATGTATTTTTTAAATTCTTTTTTTTATTTATTTAATAATTTGAATAATTATGTTTTATCTACGAATGTGTTTTATATAAATTTATACAATTCTATAAATCAATAAAAAATATATATATTTTACAATCCTATTAAATTCATGAAAATCTATCTAAATCAATTAATGAAATATATTAAACTCTACGTTGACTCTGTAAATTTAAAAAGTTCACACAAATCCATAAATTTTTTAAAATCCAATAAAATCTTATAAAATCTCAATTATACTCCCTTAAAGTTGATATCTCTAACTCAATAGTTTAAGAATGAATTTTATTTTGGGCTCACAAGCAATAACTCCTTGAAACAAGTGTCTCTGATGAAGTACCTTTAAAAACAAATTGTATGGAGATGGTTCTCGTGTCCTTGGGCTTCATTGTCTTCTTAGCATTTCCCTTGATTTTGACAGTTACAAACAACGGAGAAGGATTGGGAATCAGATGACAATAGACAACTTCATCATATTGGAAATCAAACCCGAGACAATGTGGAAATGATGGCAGCGATGGACAACTGCACACGAAGAATCGACAGCTTGGCAAAAAAGGTTTTTGGTTGTTCAAATTGACCGCTTTCTTCAGCACATAGGAAACTTGTATAAAAATGGTTTTCATGACTTTTGGCTTCATCGATGCCTCGGTCTCTTTCTTGAGTTAAGCCTTGTCAACTTCGAACTTGAGCTAATGCAATGCCTAAACTATTTCAAGATTCGATGGGGACTGAGAACGAAATGGGGGGAAGTGGCGAGGGAAGCGACGAACACCTGCGATTTGGCTCCAGCGTGCGGGTCAAAGAATCGAGATACGGCTTGGTTGGAGAAACAAAATTGATTTGGGGTCGGTTTAGGATTAGTTTTGATTTAACGATTGGTTACTTTCTATGCTCTAATTTTTATTTTTCTTTTTTTTTTTTGGTGCGATTGATGTATTCTTATTATTTTTCGTGTTGAATCATATATGTAACTTGTGTATATTATATTAATTGTTAAAAATATAAGGCAAAGTTGTCCATAACTCCCTTGTGATTACAAAACTCAACGTAAATCTCCCCTTTTACTTTAAAAATTGCATTGCGTTCATTTATACTTTAAAAAATATTGCATGAAACCCCTTTGTAGTTTTGAAATTCAACGTAAATCTTCACTTTATTTTAAAAATTACATAGCCCCCCTTATACTTTAAAAAATGTTAGCATGAAAACCTCCGCCATGCAAAAAATATAGATACGAAATTATCTTCTCATCACACAAGGAAGGTTTCATGGTGGTGGGGTTTAATGCAACGTTTTCTAAAGTGTAAGGGGGCATCATGCAATTTTTAAAGTATAGAAAAATTTTATGCTCAATTTCAAAACCACAAGGCAATTTCACCAAAATATAATATGGTCTATTGTCCAAAAAGATGTGGTGAAAATATATATTAGGTTTGTTTTATAAATAATATATTCAGTCCATCATGTCTATGATATGTAATTTAAACTAATATATCGTATTGTCGCTCTATCATAAACATATTTACTTGTTAGCAATACCATATCACTTTGAATACATAAATTTCGTTTAATATTTAATATATCTGCTTATTTTTATTTTTTGGATATATTCTTATTACCAAATATAACATACTAATTCAATCTAATTAATTTTAGGCTAATTTGCACAAAATCTACATATGGTTTCATGAAATTGCGTCAAATCCTCTATACTTCTAAAACTGTGTCAAACTCCCCCATGGTTTTATAAACTCTGCGTCTAACCCCCTCGGTAGTTCTTATTTAACGGTATTTGACCTAAATGCGCCCAAACTGCAAATAAATTTTAAAATCTCAAATTTCTAAACCCCTAAACTTACAAATATATTCATTTTTCTTATATTTAGACTCAAAAATAGTAAATATACTCTAAAATAGTTATTTTTATGAGATTTTAAGAGTTTATTTTTACTGTTTTTTTAGGCTAGATGTAAGAAAAATAAATACTCCCTCCGTCCCGTTGGAAGGGTGGCGTTTGTTTTTTGCACGTAGATTTTTTAATATTAGTATTATATTGGATTGTAGTAAAAAAAGACAAAAATACCCCTATTAGTATGGTGTAATATAAAAGTAATGACATTTGTGTAATATATTGTAAGTTGAAAGGGTATTTATTATGTTAAGTAGGTAATACAATTACTAAATTAGAAAATGGTAACCTTGTTTTGGGACGGACGAAAATGAAAAATAGTAACCTTTCAATGGGACGGAGGGAGTATATTTGTAATTTTAGGGATTTAAAAATTGAGATTCTAAAATTTATTCGTTGTTTGAACGCATTTAGGTCAAATACCATAAAATAAGGACCGCCAAGGAGGTTAGACGCAGAATTTATGAAATCACGAGGGAGTTTGACGAAATTTTTAAAGTATGGGGAATTTGGCGCAATTTCGTGAAACCACAAGTGAATTTTGTACAATTTTAGCCTTAATTTTAATTAAAATGTCATCAAACTAACTTTTTAAATAAAAAAAAAAATTATAATTGCCTCTGAATCATTATGAATCACGAAGATTAAATTTTATATCAATACAACGGATGTTACTAAAAATCAACATCGTGCTGAACTTATTATAAAGCTCAACACGATACTGGCCCTCCGGGGACACATCAAGAGATCTTGCTTTAAATTGAAGAAGCAAAAAGAAAATGACACTAAGTTTGAATGTCCGTGTAATGGAGCAAAAAGGAAAAAACCATCAATGAATAAGATGAGAAGTACTAACCAATTAATTGAATATGAAACAGAAATTTTCTATTTCAATAATAATAACTCATACATATTCATAATAATGTATAAATAAATCAAGAATCCTATCAATATGTTAAATACGATAAATATCATAAATATAATAAATATTCTAAATATATGTTAACACCCTTTTTTTCAATCCGAAAATAAAACCAAACAACTTAAAGTTGCCAAAAAGAGACCTGAAGCAACGCTATCAACTAAGTTACATTAGAAACATGACTCAGCTTGCTCACGGAGTCATGGTCATATATAAAACACACTCCTTCACAACAGGATTAAAAATAGGACTCGTCCACTCTCAACAAAGTTGAAAATATGACTCTCAATAGAATTGGAGTCGGATTCAAAACTCTTTTAGTGGATATCAAAGTGGCGGCAACGGCGTGGTGATGATAAATACATCAACAATCATATTAACAAATATGAGATTATAACGGCTCTAACACCATGTTAAAATATGAAATTGAAATTATCTATTCAAGATCATAATAGCTCATACATATATAAATCATATAAATAAATCAAAAATCCTATAAATATCTTAAATAAAACAAATACCATGAATATATAAGAGCACAGATCTTGATCTGATCTCACGGTCACAAATCAAACCCCTATACCACCAGACCATCCTTTACGGGACAGCTATATATATATATATATATATACTTGTGTAGGTGAAGAATTGGTCAGTCCTAAAAGGGGTGGCAGTGGTTCGAGAAGTTAATGACCAGATGGTGGTGCAACCTAGGGATAACCAAGGAATTCTATAGGTGTCATTATCAAAAGCAAACTGTGACATAACAATATAACATTAGACAAAATACTGGGAAAAAAAAAAAGTCGTCATCCATTTTATTTCTTTTTTTTTCATTATTATTATTATTATTATTATTTATGGGACAAGATGTGTTGCATGTATTTTATGTAACATATGTGTATTATTATGTACTTTACCCAAAACAATATTTATTTCTTCGATGGTTTGAGATAGAGGATGTCATTAGGATATCCTTGAATTATATAGAATTTGTTCTTTTAATGTTCATTAATTTTTCAATAGAATATAATAACTTTTTACACATAAAACATCACCTCACATAATATTTTACCTAAAACACTAACAAAAACTACTTCACCAAACATCACAATTTCGAGTAATTAATAAACAAAATTCCCAAAAACCTAAAACACTAAAGGAACAAACTCAGTTACTGTTCTTTAACCCAACCCATTTACTTATATTATCCGCCGGTGTTCGTGTTTGTGTTAAGCCCATCCGTCTGATTTTGAACTTCATCAGAATCATATCCAACTATCTAGGACAAACATATACCTTAAACTTCGAAGTAGAAAAAGGGAATATTCGAACGAGCACCTTTGCAGCTTCCCATCTCCTTCAGTTGAAAACTTTTGACTTCCTTGTGAGGAAACCGATCACAGCCACAGACTGTAAACAAGAAACAGATTTCTAGTCGGTGCTGACCATTGAGAAAATGGATCCATGCCTTCTCCACTGTGGCAAGTTTGTAACAATTTCTTTCAGCAACGTATAGGTATAAGCTTCCCACTTGGCAACTGCAGCAGAAAAACTGCGACAGTCGAATGATATCTGCAAGCCTTTGCTGGCTTTCGCAAGAAGATTCTCTGCTAAATTGCAATCCTTTAAAATCATGCCTTTCAGCGAATTGATTTTTCCCCGTTGTACTTCAGATAGCTGTGTGACCTTAACAGATGACTCGTTGGGCTCTGGGGAAGCTGCATCTGCATACAACTTCTTGAGCTCAGGTGCCTTCCAGTAATAAAATTGCACCACCTGTAATATACAAAAAATAAAATACCGGAAAGTAAAAGTTAATATCATCTGATGGCTACTAACACACAACATTCAAGATGTTGGAGGCAATTTATTGTGCAGCATACTGAAGACTTGGTAATATAAATATACACAGGTGTAGAGATTAATTGACCCTTGTATGAGAGAAAGTATGTGCTGCAGTCAAGACAGACACTACAGAAAGTGAAATCTGATCAAAGAAAGTTGTTTAATAACTTTATTAAAAGGAACCCGGCTAATGGATATGTTCTAATCTTAGAAAGACCAGTCTTTGCATTATATGGTGATCGGGAAACATATAACTTTGTAACTCCATGGATAAAGCAAAGTACGAGAATAAACCATAAATAACCGGATAATAATTAAAGTAATCTGCAACATACAGCATTTTGCCTTCACAACTAACATATATAGAGAGAAACCTATTATGGCTATTATGTAAATATTATGTTTCAGTGTGCAAATCCTAGAACTTCAGGACTCTTTACCATGAAACATACCTGAAGAGCATGCAGAATGTTGACAAATTCTAAAGAAAGCAGCTTATCACCACGTGCCAGATGTAATGGTTCGTTCAACAATTTCAGGTCATTGGAGGCATCCATAGTCGAACAGGGTTCTTCATTGGAGGAATAAATGTCGAATCCAAGAACATGTAATCTTGCAGAGCATATATCAATTCCAGACTGGAATTTTGAAGCTTCTTCAGGAGGAAACCAATACATATTATGCGGTGCAAGCATGGGGAAGTATGAAGGAGACATGCTTATAGAACTGTTTAGTGAATGGTCGCAGAGTGATGACAAAATTTTGGCATCCTCATCATGAGCTGAATCACGACTGAACCACAAACTGAGTGTAATTCGCTCTCCTTCACTGATCTGCACTAAAAGATAACATCATAAATGTTGAAGCTAAAGAAGCTGTGACTCAAATATTGCTTTCCTCCACTAGATTAAGAAAAGGACAACAGAGAAAACAATTAAATGACTTCTAAAGGAAGGATTTATGACTATAGGAACAGAGGGAAACAGTTAAAAATAAATAAACAGAAAGACAGAAACCCTCTTTAGCAGGGGTGTACATAATTCCACACAACTTGTCCAACTGGCCAAAACTGACTTGATCCACCTGAAACCAACCCAACAAGTTTTAAATCATATATTTTTCAACAGCAGTTAAACAGTTTAGTGAGTTGTTACTTTTAGGTCGCGTTGAAATCCTGCATTCAGCCTGACCAGTCTGTTTACATTATTAATCTATTTATTTTACATAGAATTTAGTTAATAAATAATTAATACCACACTCAATAATAACTCTAAGTTTCAGTCTGCATCTCCAACCGTACACCAACAAAATAAGATGACCAAATTCAAACTTGTATTGTTCAAGTTCAATAGCAATAATAACTTTCAATTAAAATTGAAAGGCTTCGCTAACCTCTTTCTTAGACAAAATTAACTTTATGATAATAAGCAACCCACATAACAATATGCAATTCATAATGGGTTTGTTAATTCAAAAAACATTAGCCTTGTTGCAAACATATTCCACAATTTCAACGAAAAATCCACTTTCTAGCATCAACAAGGCCTTCATGCCATTCGTTTTAATCATTCAACAAACAACATGTTGCACATGTTCGCTTAAAAAGGGGAATAAATTATTCCAATAGATGTCCAATCATCCTCAATAATTTGAGCACACGAAATCCTGTACAAAAGTTGCAAGTAATATTTCTCCATAAGATATTGGACGTGCATATATTGTAACAACTCAATACTCTGTATATTGTTTCCAGACCCACTCAATAGCGGAATGGACATTGATCACTCTTCGTATAATGACACTATTTCTAATAGCTTCAAACCATTTGATTAACATTCAATGAACACCAATAAGGTTTAGAACATTGACCAAATTACCTTTTCATGAATCATAGACACATTTGGAGAATAATTTTGGAGTTCAGTAATATCATCTCTATCAAGCTTCAATTCTCAATACATAGACACCGGCTAGATAAATTTTGATTTCATAATCTCGTTTGCATATCTATTTATTTTTATTTGAATCTTGATTGTTTCTATAAAGAATGATAGTTGCACAACATGTCCACTTTCACATATACATCATCAGATTTTTTTTTCTCTATATATATTTATGAGCATTGGACCACACAAATGGATGTCAATTGAATGAAATAATCCAAATTATCTATTAATATACCATTTACGAAAAATATGTTTGATTGGTCACATCAAGCTTTATGTTAGACAAATTCAGCTTCAACAGTAGTATGGACAAAAGTATTTCTTAGGATGGTGTTTGCTACACTTTTCATCTTAGACCATCCACCATATAGGAACCATTAAGACTATACATCCCACCTGGTCCGTGGACCATATGTTTTGAAATAGTCTCGCAATGTAGTACGTATTTCTACAAACATATACTTATTAATTTCATTAGGGACGATAATAGAGAGCCAGAGCAAGCACCCGAGAATGAAAAAGGGCTAAGGCCCTTACTCGTCTACAGAAGGCAGGGACGGGATTGAGCTTGCCTTCGCAAGCTTAGAATTTTAGTATTTTATTGATTATTAATAGTTGAACCTTTATTACATTTGAGTTTTCTTATTTCATTGGGTTTGTATTTTACCTAGGGTATAAATAAGACTATGGTTGTTTTTTTTACATTCATTGGAATTTCAATCAAGTTTTGGGATTTTAAGCCGTCGGTTGTTTTGGACAAACGAGGTTTTCTCGTTTGATTATTCTTGATTCTATCAGACGATTTGTCTATATTTATCTTCAAGAGACAAAATAATATGTAAATAGGTTAATCATTGGTTTTGAAACTCAAATAAACAAAAAGTAGAAGGCATTAATTTTGACGTATGGTCGAATGATTGTTAAAAGCATAATTAAAGTGTAGTATACTTATCAGTGTATTTCCAAAGATCATTTGATCGTTTAAGACATGACAGATTTCTCTATTATTTCGAATACCTTGCTAATATATATGGAGAATCTTTTTTATGGAAATTAGAAAATTGTGCTCTACATGTTGCTAAAGCTTTGTGACATGCCATATAACATATTCATTGGATATCCACTAAAAGATTATGGCAAGAATTATACTCATTCCAATTACATTGTCATTTGTACCTCTAGTAACACTAACATTTTCAAAATCTCGAACTAAAGCTTCATGCAACCAACTTAGCGTGTCTTTATATAATTCTAGCATTTCTATTCATTTGCAACTTTTCGAAGGTTGTGCCTTGTTAGGTGTAGGCTTCTTCAGGGATGGTAGTTAACCCTAATGGGCTTATTGGAGTTTGGGCCCAATTCTGATTAATCCTAACATAGTTGGTATCTCCTATACTTGTAAAAGTGTGTCTCCTCCTATTGTAGTAATAAGAGAGATCTTAGTTGCCTATGTGGACATAGGTCAATAACCCTTATCAGACGAACCAAGAATCTCCCTTATTAGTGCAATATGAGAATACACATGCTTTTATAAGCACAGAAGATAGTATTTATGTAAGGTTGGGGCTAATTAGGATTGGGACTAAACTCCAATAAGCCCATTAGAGTCAACTACCCCTAATAAAGAAGCCTACACCTAACGGTGCCTTTTCCAATGTTCTGCATTGGAAACAAAATGACAAAACATCGCAAAGAATGGCAATTCCGTGCTAGTCTACTCCATGTGAAAAAATAAATAAAAATGCCTCCCTAATACGTCGTAGGTGCCCATTAGCTTTGCAAACAATAGCATCACAACTTTGTACAATATTGCTAATTTTTCTAACGATTAAAGCAGCAATTTTCGATGTAAAAGGTAGTTTGCAGCATCAGCTATTTCAAAAGTACAAAATATGTACATATAAATACAAACCATTGTCATTCTTCCACGCATTCCTAGCAAAACAAAAAATCTGAACATAAAGATTAAGATAACCAACATGAATTTCAAATACTCAACTAAAGAAATTGTTACTTAAGGTGATCTTATTATTGCACAACTTATCATGATTTGAGGTATAGCGGAAACAATCATAGTACTAATGCATGATTAAAATCATATTACTCGACCTAATCTAATCACCAGTAGTAAACACACCCTATGTACATTAACTTACTTGTCTTAATTTTCATATACATCTTATATATTTTCTTATGAGACTATTACAACAAAAACAGTCCATGAACCACATGGGGCGTATAATTGTAATGATACACATATGGTGGATGGAAAGTAAAGTAAACCTATCTCAAGAGATTTTCTTCACATTCTACTTTTTGTGAAGATGGATTTGTCTTATATAAGCAGATATAAATGTGGCCTGTCAAACAAACTGAATGAAATGTGTTGAAACATATAATCGTTGGATTGTTCCATACCGTCGAGATCTTGTGTTATTCAATGCTCACATGAATGTTAAAAATGACAAAGGAGATCAGGCTACTATCATTCTTACTATGTGCATTATTCACAATATGCACACAGAATATATATGTTCTTCAACTTTTCAAAAGCCATTTATTTATGTTATAATTCCGGATGGCAGCATGGCAAATTTCATTAAAGAAAAAAGTTTAAGAGGAGTGACCATACCTCACTAACAGAATGAATATTTTTGTTATCTGCTGTGTACATTATGGCATCCTGTATATATGAAGCATGTAATAATTAGAAGTGGAAAAACAACATGATATTTCAAGTTTGTAAGAAGATATCAGGTAAAATATATTCTAACTCTATTTCCTGAGAAGGCGTTTCCATGCAAAATAAAAGCTGAGAAGAGATTGAGCCAATCCCAAGCTAAGTCTACTAAGGAATTCGGATCATGCTGGATTGATCTAGGCTGGCTCAAGGTAATCAAGCCCATTTTAATTCAGGCTGGTCCACAAAAATCAAAGCTTGGCCCAAAATGTACTAGGTTATGTGAGTTAGTTAGGCAAACAAATCATATCGTTCTGACTCAATCCCACTTAAAAATGGATTAGGCATATACAGCCTAGGAATATGGAAACCCAAGGGATTATGAGTTCAGCCAACTAACAAAAGTTGAAGGAATAAGCAGTCAACCATGGGATCAATTGTGGAGTGATTTTAGGAGTTTGAAGTTAGTGGGAGAAGTTTTGAAAACTAATCCAAACAATATGTTGGATGAGAGGACAAATATCAAACTTCATTTGACACTTTCGAAAAATATATATATATATTTTTTTCCTACATTTTATTGCTGTTCATTTAATTTGTTAGGGTATTTTTGGATAAGCGAAATCAACACTTGCTGGGGAATTCCAGCTTGTTTGTATTTTTCCAAATCAATTTTAATTACTTTTCTAGAGTTTTCGCATACCGCCATATGTTTGCATTGAGTCACCGAAGAGCCAACAAATTGCACTCTCTATTGAGAATTTTAGACCGAAATCAATGATTTTCAAGCCAACATAATTGACACGCCTGATGCAACTACAATTGCATATACAACTACGGTCCGAAAAGGTGACTTATGCAATAGTCAGTGGGATGCTGCCATTTGAATCTTGAAGTACATCAAAAGGTCTCTTGGTACTAGAGTAACGGCTACTCAGATGCCTATTGGGCAAAATCACCAATTGATAGACGCTCTACTTCAGAGTATTGCATATTTTTGGAAGATAATTTTATCTCATGGAAGAGTAAAAAACAGAATGTTGTTGTTCGATGAAGTTCAGAGGCAAAATATCGAACCATGGCCTTAGCGACGTGCACATATTTGGAAAAAAGAGCTTCCTCATTAAGTCAAGATAATGGACGTTTCAAAAATGAAACTCTTTTGTAAAAATCAAGCTGCCTTGTATATTGTGTCTAATACGGTGTTGTTATATGAATGCATCACCACTCACCATGTTGCTTCAAATGATCAACTTGTAGACATTCTCATTAGTGGCCCTCGAATTAAATTTATATGTGACAAATTTGGATCATAGCTCGTCGCCTTTGTCGTTGTAGCAGCATCAAAGTAAGGTCTCCGATGAACTTCTGAAAATGCTTCTTGCGGGCTTGGAAGTGGTATGGTGGCCAAAATTCTACCTCTAACTTCATCAAGAGATTTATCCAATCCCACAAGGAATTTGAATACTTCTTGTCTCAATAATATTTCGAAACTTGACACTATCTTCAGCACACTTCCATTCATGAGACTCAAATAATCAATTTGTTGCCATAGTAAAGTGAGATTGGAGAAGTATGTGGTGACGGATCCTTCTCCTTGTTTTAAATCCTGTAGTATGCTCTCAACATGAAACAGTTCCTAAGTGTTTTCACTGCTGGAGTACGTCTCACAGACAGCATCCTATATCTCTTGAGCAGTCGCATAGAGAAATTTCTCCAATTTTAGTGGTCATGGAATTTATCAACCAGGACAGGACCATATTGTTTTCTGACCTCCAAGTTCAGTATTGGGGATCTGTCTTCTCTGGTTGAACAGCAACTCCGGTGAGATAGTCATCCTGTCTTTTGCCACTAATAAACATCATAACTAATTGTGACCACTGTAGATAGTATTGGCCATATTGAGTCTGTGATTGGTCACAGGAATACTGTTTTCAAATTGACCTAGAGGAACAACAAATGATTGGCCCGAAAGAGAAGATGTAGTCGATGGCTGGGAGGGGGCTGGTGTTGATGAAGAACTTGGTTCAGTCATGGTTTCAAAGGATCAGAGAATGAGACCAAGTTAGAACCAAAAACAAAGATGATCAGGGAAGGAGGATCAACAATGAGCGTTGCTCTGATACCATGTTGAATTCTGGAATTAATTCCTTGATCTTTATTCATCAACACAAGAGAATATATATACAAGAATTGAAACGAGGAAACTAAATCCTATAAAAAGGCTACTTCCTAACTAAAAAAAAAGGCAAAACAAATCTCTTCTACTAAATAGTTATACACAGATTTTCTACACTAATATACACCTAATTTACTATATTTTCTACAAAGATATTTCTGGAAAGTGTTGAAATTAGTCTTCAAAACTTCTTCCACTCGCTACAAACTTCTAAAATTACTCAAGAATTGATCCTCACGTTGAGTGTTTAACTCTTGGTAGTGGGCTGAGCTCAAAACCCTTGGACTTGCATATATGGTTGGTATAGCCTATTGGTTGACTCCCGTTTGTAGATAAATAAATAAATGATGCGTATCCCTAATAGTTTAAACTTTTAGGTAAGACGATCATTTACATCATCTAACATAGTTTCAGAGTTATAGGTCTCGTGTTCGAGTCTCACTATCCCCATTCGTCGTCGTCCACATGCCAGTTTCGTATAGTGGCGTATATTCCCTTTACACGTGAAGGGCGGTTGGTTGCCTTACATTTGTACATAAATAAATAAAAGATAAGTATCCATAATAGCTTAAACTTTTAACTGAGGCGGTCATTTACATCGTCTAACATAGCCTAATCCATCTTTAAATAGGATTGGGCCAAAATTATTTGGCTTGTTTGCCCATCTACTCATATAGGCTACACATCTTGGGCTCAACTTGGCCTTAACTCTTGTGGATTAGCTTAAATTTAAATGGCCTGATTCCTACTAGGTCAGGCTGGATCAACCTAATCTAATTTGAATTCCTTGGGAAAAATTAGCTCTGCATTGGTTTATTCATCTCCGCTTGGGATTTGCAAGGCAATAAAGGGGCATTCACTATTTCTGTAAAATGTATTATAAATGTAGTAAGAAATTTAATGGGCTTTGGAATCTATTGGGTACATAATCACAATTTTGGCCTTTGGAGGCTTAAGTTAAAGTGGATGATAGATCATAAAAGAATTGATAAGTTTTGGTCAATATTGGACAGGTATAGCTATAGTCTATGTAATAGTACAGGTATAGTTAAAATATATGTAGTAATTAGCATCATATGACATCAAAATATAGAAGATTTCATCGTTCAAAAGGACATTCAAGAATGCCTTTATTATTCACAAGTGAATAGATGGGCGTTTGATGTTTATTTGCATCTTCAGCACTTTTTCCAGTTAAAATAAATCAAGAAAAGTTCTCAGGATTTATCGACTCATAGAAAGAAAATGGTACAGTGCCCTTAAATTACAATGGTTCAAGTTTTCACATACAAAATGCATAGTACTCTAGTGTACATACTGAATGAAATTTATAATAGGTTATAATTAACACCCATACACACCATCTGTAAAAGATGTATTCTTGTTACAAAGAAAACTTAATCAGCATAATGAGAAAACACTTACACCAGCCATGGGTACCACAGTGGAGGGTTCCCCATCCTGGAAGTGAAACAAGCCTCCATTAAAATCCACTCCATGACTATTTAAATAGCAAACCACCTTCAAGCACATAGAGATATAGAGAGCTATTAGCCAGGTTTACATGTTACACAAACACTAAAGAGCATCTAACGTCCTTCATTCAATCAAATATGCACCATAAAAACAAACAGATATTTATATGGGGTTTGTTTGGTTAGGGGGTTGTCAATTGGTTTGTAGTTTTTTTTATATAGAGTTATTTGATCGTGATTCTTTTAATGAAAATTATTTTTGATATAATGTTTTAACAGAATATGTGTTTGATTCGATAGTTTTAAAGGAAAAAAGAAAAGTGGTAAATAGTGCCAAGCCCTCTAAATAAACAAACCCATGGTTTCCTGTGCTCATAATCAGGAAGTTGGTCAGACACTCTAAACTTCATATATCATAAAATGGCACGTATCCATTCAATAATGTCAGGACGATGCATAAGGTGTGTGGTGAACAGGGTGCAGCAGTGAGGAGAGAGTTACCACCAAATCAGTGCCCCATTAAATATCATGGATAAGGAGTTTAATTCTTCATTTCAAATATTTAATATGAAATTCAAGGGTATGTTCGTTTGGCAAGTTTTCCAAAATTTTTACTATTCAAATCCCAACTCAAAATCCAAACCCCCAAACAAACACACCCCAACAGTTTTTATTCCCAGGATGAGTTAGATTATCACCAATAATTTTAGGAAAAGAGATGGAATCCAATATAGAAATAGATGAATTGCAAGGTGAGAAAGACATTGGTACGAAACAATATGATTTGCACATTGCCACTTACATTTTTGGCGGGTAGAAGAAGCTGGTAAAGGGAGTATGGGAACTGGATCACTAGATATGGATTGTGAAGTCAGAGCAGAAAGACAACTGACTATTGTCAAAGTGGAAAACAAAGAACTTCACTATTTCCAAACCACGATGCCAATGCCTAGTGCAAACTCGAAACTCCAAGGACAAACTAGATGGAATTTATTTGAAGGAAGAGAAGAGGGGGGCATACTCAGAAGATGTGCAGATTACCAATAGCAGGAGATCATGCAGGTTAGCCAGACTAACAAAGGAAGGACTTAAGTGGTAGGCAAAGGGAGGTACTCACAGGTGGTTACAAGGGAACTCAAATGCGAAGAGAATAGCATTCTTACCATAGCTAGTAAAGTGGACAGATGAAAGAAACAGAGATTGTGGTAACATTACGAAAGACTAACAAATTAAATCAAGAGAAAAACAACAATATCGCCTTGTATATTACAGTATAAAAAATACGCACTTGAGTGTAGTTTGACAACAACTACCTGAATAGAAAAAGATAAAATAAGTCCTACCAAAGATTTAATGTTCAATGGGAAAGGCAGGTTTGTCAAGAAAAAGGACTGATAAATGAACAGACTCGTCAGGAGCAGCAGACGGCTAAAAACATGTTTTAGAGACACATCCAGCCAAAATGCTTTAGGAGCATGCATTCGAAATAAAGAGCTTGAGCAACCTTTAGGATGCACGATTCTTCCATTCAAAAATACCATTTTGTACTGGTGAAGCGACACAAGAATACTCATCTTAAATCTTAAGTTCTACCATTAGTAACTCTCATACAATTTCCTAGGGCAAGAATATAATGTCAAAACAGAATTCCAACGGATTGAAATCCATAATTAGCTTTTCTATAAGATATGAAACTTACTTTGGCTGACCAAGGAATACTGAAAACAAGGTATGGCATCTGAATGCCTTCATCCTCTTAGGGTGTGTTTGTTTGAAGGATTTTGAAGAATTTCTACTGTTCATACAAATTTTTTTCCCCAAAAACATCAAATCCAACACTTATTATCTATTTTTTATATTATACTAAAAAATCAATTTTACATTCAAAACATCACATCAATACTTATTTATATTATATTCCAATTTAAATTTTTTACTATTCAAATTCCAACCCAAAATCCAAACCCACGTACAACCACGATTAGTTTAAATAACGTTCCCCTTCTATAAGGAAATTATACAACTACGAACCGGGCATAATGTAAACTAATAATAAGTGCATAGAATGAGTATGACATCAATAATGAGAACAAACAGAAAAGCATAATACAGAAAGAAGATACCAACAACAAAATTATAAGATATAAACAAGCAGTATACAAACCGCAAAGTCCCTTTGTTTGAGATAATCCCTGTTATCATCACTGTGCCATCCAATGCTAGCTCCCTTGCACCAGCTGACACATAGGACACAAGAAAAGACAGACACCTAATGACATTCAAGAAGCTGTAGAGAAACCATCACAACTGATGTCTGATCTTAAATTGCAAGTGTGAAAGATTAAAATTCATGAGAGCATTCTGAATTCTGAAGCAACATCTAAATGGAACCACGACTATCGGAATATTAGTTTGGATTATTCAAAGACAATTGGATTGAATCTCACAGAAAAGAGAGCAGAATAAACAAATCCCTCACATTCACTGGAAGATAATTAGCCCGAACAAAAAAATTCATTCACATTTAAACATCAATATTACCTAATGAGTCCCGTAAATTCCACGAACAACTCGTATTCGCATCCAAAATATTCCTCCACCTTCTCTTTCAACCGCTCTACGGATCAACCCATTAATTTGTTAATCAAAACTAAGCTTCAGAAAGGAGTAGAAAGAAAGAAGAAGTACAAAAAGATAGGCATATCGAGAAAAAGGGAAGACAACCTCGGATGGGAACGAGGGGCACGATGAGATGGGCAGAGTTTGTGGCAATAAGAAGAGGGAGAGTGGTGGAGAAGACGTTGGGTCTGTACCCGACAGTGCAACAACTTTTATGTATGAACTCTAATTCCTAAATTGATGATTAACTCAGACAAACTGTACAATAGTGGAAGAAAAGGCGCAATAGATGACAATTAAGGCGTGAATGTGTGGAGAGGAACCTTGCAGACGTCCGGTGAAAGGAAGTTCCGCAGTATGAGACGCCGATCCTCTGCCATGTCTGAACAACCTCAAATTTCTTACACGCCAACAGCCCCTGAGAATATTAAAATGGTAACAGTGTTTGGTTCAGGAGGAGAGGAAGGGAGGGAATAATTTTGGGTGTGTCTTTTCAGGGGCTTTTTGGTGTTTCTTTTTTGTCCACGTATAAAAAAAAAAATTCAGCAATTTTACTCACGCTATAAATAATTTCAATCAATTTTGATTTTATTATAAATAATTTCAATTAATTTTAGTCCGACTATTAAAAAATTAACGGAAATTGTTGACGTTGACACGACAGAGATGGTGTCACAGTTGACCTGAAAAGTAGTATAATTGTTGATGTATTTTTTCAACAAACAATAAATAAAATTCAAAGATATGGAAAATATCTTTAAACTTGATTAACTAGTGCCTGAAATTAGGAATCTCTAATCATTGTACGGTACATAAGAAATAAACTGGAAATTAAAATGCTGAAAATTTAAAATGGTGATCCCAAATCTGACTTTGTTTTGTTGAAGTTGATTGAAGATGCCTTCTCCAGAAAAATCCAAATCCTTAAATACTCCCTGAGAAACTGTACTGGTTACAACGTCTCCTTTTCAACCGTCTGCCAACCCTTCTCTTACTGACACGTGTCCTCAACCGACCACAGTATCATTCTTACTTACACTCAACAGAGTCTAACTTCCTGAACCGACCGCAGATTTCCCAAACTATAGACCACCCGACTCATTTAGTCCAGCCGCAGACCTCCCGACTTAAAGACCATCCGACTTGTTGGTCTAGCCGCAGACCTCCCAACTTAAAGACCATCCGACTTGTTGGTCTAGCCGCAGACCTCCCGACTTAAAGACCACCCGACTTATTGGTCCAGTCGCAGACCTCCCGACTTAAAGACCATTCGACCTGTTGGTCTAGCCGCGGACCTCCCGACTTAGAGACCACCCGACTTATTGATCCAGTCGCAGACCTCCCGACCTGAGGACTTTCCGACCTGCGGACTTTCCGACCTGAGGACCTCCTGACCTGAGGACTTCCCGACCTAAAGACCTCCCGACCTGAGGACTTCCCAACCTAAGGACTTTCCATCCTGATGACTTTCCGTCTTGAGGACCTCCCGACCTGCGGACCTCCCGACCTGAGGACCTCCCGACCTAAGGACTTTCCGTCCTGATGACTTTCCGTCTTGAGGATCTCCCGACCTGCGGACCTCCCAACCTGAGGACCCCCCGACCTGAGGACCTTCCGACCTGAGGACTTTCCGACCTGCATTTTCCTTAGAAATAAACCTATTTTCCCTGAGTTCCCCACGGTGCCCTTCAGCCAGTTCGATCAACTCTATTGCCAGGCCCATTTTTTCTTTTACCTTGGGCTTTTTAACCTAATTCTAAATTTCATACGTAACAATAATTATACACGGTCATGTTGTTACATGGCCATGTATATTTCAATATATAATTATATATGGTCATGTTGTTATACGGTCATGTACAATTATACACGGCCATGTTGTTACATGGCCATGTATATTTCAGTGTATTATTATACATGGTCATGTCGTTACACGGCCATGTACAATTATACACGGTCATGTTGTTACATGACCATGTATATTTCAGTGTATAATTATACATGACCATGTTGTTACACGGCCATGTATAATTTTACACAGTCGTGTGCCTTTCTATTTCGGTCTAAAATTTTAATTTTTTTTGTTATATTTTATTTTTAATTTTTTTGTTTTTTGAATTTAGAATAGTTAGATATAGTTAAAATGGAAAAAAAAAATCAATAATAATCATAATATATTTAAAATATATCAATTTTAGTTCAAATATAAGTATTTATCGAGTATATTCTTTTGGAAGATTTTGTCTAAAATTCTACTATTTAGCAAAAAAAAAAAAATTTACAAACATCCAATTAATGTATTGAAATAATAAATTAATTTTTAATACTATTATAATATACAAAATTAAAAAATAGTTGTGTAATTGGATGTTTGTAAGAGAAATTTTTTTTATTAATAATAAAATTTTAGACAAAACCTTTCAAAAGAATATATATCTTATAAATTTTTATATTTGAATTAAATTTGATAAATTTTAATTATATTATAATTACTATTACTACTTTAAATTCAAAATAAATTTTTTTAAAAAAAATATATAAAAAATAAAATAAAATTGTTAACTAAAATAAAAATGTACATGGCCGTGTATAATTGTACATTGTCGTGTTACACTGAAATATACATGGTCATGTAACAACATGGTCGTGTATAATTGTACATGACCGTGTACTTTCCAGGTCAACTGCCACGTCACCCCCGTCATGTCCGCGTCAGCAATTTCCGTTAATATTTTAACGGTGAGACCAAAATTGATTAAAATTGTTTATAATGGGACCAAAATTGATTGAAATTGTTTATATTTGGATCAAAATTGATGAGTTTTTTATATTATGACCAAAATTGATAAATTTTGGTTATATTGGGACCAAAATTGATTTTTTTTTTCCAAATTTATTTTATATCTATATATATTTATAAATTTTAATTTATTTGTATTATAAAAAAAAACGCAGCCTTTTCCGACCGTGTCCCCTCATTAAATAAAAATATTTAATGAAATTTGTTTAATTTATTAGTAAAATATCTATTCCGATAGTTAATACTTCATCGGTCTAATTTCTATTGTCCTAAAGTATATTTGCAAGGTTTTTTAGTAAATGTCTTTTTATTATAAATTGACAAATTTGCCCTTAATTGTATGGTAGAGATTAAAAGTAATAATTGAATGAAGGGTAAAAATGTAAAATTTGTGTTTAAAAAAAATCGAACAATAATTATTGGACGTCCCAAATAGGAAAATAGGACATTAGTTTTTAGACGGAGAGAATATAATATACTTATTTTATAATATGAACATGTTTATAGAAATTAAAATATGAATATACATAATTTTAGCTAAAAATAATAAAAAAAAATACTTTATTCGTCCTATAAAAATGATACTATTTTTTATCATTTTTTTGTCACACAATATAAAAGGGGCAATTTTATCTTTTCTACATATATTTATTTAAATATTTTATTATAAATTATAATTATATTACTTATAATAAAATGTTTAAAAAATATATTATAATTGAACTTATTTAAAATATTTAATTATATAATTAAATATATGTACAATATATTAATATTTTAATTTTAATATTCCTAGAATAAAAAATAAAATAAAATATATATTTAAAATATTGAATAATATAATAAAATATAAGGGTAGAATAGGTAGTTAAATAAATAATATTTTAATAGAATTTTCTCCCCTCCAAATTCCCGAGATTGGACTGGAAGAAAAATTAAACAATTTGTCTTCCCTTCCCCTCCTCTCTCAAAAAAGTTTGAACCGTCCTATTAGGGATGACATGATGGTGTGGGGTTGGATATTTAACCGTGAGGTCATGGTCTATACCCCACGTCTCAGGTTATGTGCTACACATGGTTCGTTTAGTGTAATTTGTCTATCGAGTTTAATTTGCAGGGTATTAGGTTCAGCAATTAGAATTCATTTTCATTCCCTCCCCTCTACTCCTAATCCCTCGAACCAAACAGACTCTGAGGTTGGATTCTTTTGTGAGTTTCATTATAGATTTTTATTATTCATTTTTTTTTTCAAAAAATATTACATAAAATAATTACTTTTAAATTTTTATATTATACTAAAAATTAATTTTATATTAAAAATATAATATCAACACCTATTTATATCACATAAAACGACTAATCAAATTTTATTTTTGACTATTCAAAAATTTCAACCCCAAAAATTAAACCCACAAACAAACTTGGTTTAAATGAGGGGAGACGATGGGAGGGATTTTAATGGAAGGTAGCGCAGATGATAGTATTTTTGTGTTGAGTTAAGCATGAGAGATAATGAAAAATATAATAATTTTATTATTTTGTTGGTATAAATAAAGATAAAAATAATTAATAAAATTTTATTAATTTATTAAATAAACATCAATTTTGATATAAAAATAATAGATAGTATGACGTACTTTGTTTTAAAATAAACATGTATATACTTATATATCATGTAAATAAAATATAAATAAAAAAATTATTTATGTAAGAAAATTGAATCATTTAATAAAAATAATTATTCTAACATGTAAATATAATAGATATAAATTTATTTTATTAATTAAAACTTGACCTTAAGGGTTTAATTACATGATTAAACTAAAATTAAATTAATTTAATTTATAAAAGAAAATTATTTTATAATTTAATTATATTACATTATGAAATTTAAAAATATCATAACTAGTTTTTAACTATAAGATATGTATTATATAATTGATATATAATTAAATACAGATAAATTAATATATAATATTAAAAATATAATAGTAATTTTATAAATTGAAAAAACAAACTTCTTATTATCCCTCCAAATTCCCCGAATTTTGAGCAGAAATAAAATAAGTTCATTTTGTATTCTCTCATCTTCCTTCCCTTCCTCTCCCCTTAAAAAAAATTGAACAAAATTTGGTAAAATTAAGTAATAATAAAAAATCTATAAATTTTTACATACAGTAAAAAACACAACTAAATATTTTTAAAATAACATACAATGTCTTTTATTGTAATTGTACATATAAATAATTAATATCAAACAATTGTTTTACTAAATACTTTAACACAAACAACTAACTAAATCCGCTAATTAAATCAAATAATTATATCAGTTAAAGCTAAAAGCTAACCTTGAATTGTTAAGCACCTCCTATATTTATTTCTTTGTATTAAATATGCTATTTTCAATCAACTAAATTTATTAAGGGCGTGTTTGGCAATTAGCTGATAGCTCTTAGCGGGTAGCTGATTCAATTAGCTGATAGCTGTTAGCTGATTCAATTAGCTGGTTTGACTAGCTGATTCAATTAGTTGTTTGTATTAAAATGTTTGGTAAAACAACTGTTTGATATTAGTTACTTATACGTAAAATAACAATTGATGATATTTCTATTTTATTTTTGTTTTTAATATATTCAATTATGTTCTTTTGAGTTTAGAATGTTTAAAATTTTTTGT